ATTGTGACTTTGCTTACTTGATTTTAAATATTAATCATCCACTAATTAACATTAAATTCTTCATATTTAGAGCACAGTGGAAATAATGTTTCTACTACAAATCAACTCAATTTTGCTTCCCAGGTCCCTTTGCTTCCCTGGTCCCTAATCATTCATCAAATGTTCAAGGAGACCTAGTCACAATTTCGTAGGCATATATTAGATTTTCCAATTTCCAATTTTGCACAAGTCAGTCCCTTCTGGCAATTTTCGTGCTAAGGAACTACTATAACCTAATCTAATCCCAATATGAGGTGATTTCTGGTATATTTAGGAGAAATACAAAATTACAAATAATTAATTGTTTGGATAAAATTATAAGGTGTTGAAATTATAATGTGAGAAAAATGAGTGGCGACTAAATGTGTAGTAATTGTAGATCTTACGAAATGTATAATTAAAATCAATGTTTGACTTCAACCATTAAATTATGAGAAACTTATCACGGTTCATTTTCGATCTTAACGGAAAAGGGATTGTCGCACGATGCCCATATGTTGACTAAATGTTTGTTCTTTATTTTTCATTTATGAATCCATATAGGGGAAAAAAATGGAATATGCTACTTGTACATAATGCGATATCCATCTCCTCACATGGAGGGGGGTCCACTTCGAATATATTATATTTTATTCGAAGTGGATCCCCCTCCATGGGAAGGGGTGAACACCGTTATAGATACCGCATTATGTATATGTAGCATCACCCAAAAAAAATAGAGAACACAATACTATAAAAAAAATTGGCAAAGTAATGCAACTACGAATTTTACGACCTTTATATCTTAATTAAATATAATTACACTTTATACAGTAATTGATATATTGGGTTCCTATTTGTTCCATGAAAAATTAACCTCGTCAAATTGTAGTTTAATAATGTCTCAATCAGTCAATCTAGTAACAAGGTTGCGATGTCATGGCCGGAATAATAATTTATTATCCAAATCTCGTCTTAATGATGTCTTAATCTATTGATTAAATTTAGGGTAATTGTATTACTATTTCCATTACAATTATTATTTGTTATACCAGATTACAAACACGTCATAATTAAAACATATTTTTAATAAATACATCACAATTAATTTCAACATTATAATTTTCATAAACAGGTGCTGTCCTTGAGTAATTGAGTTCCTTAGCACGAAAATAGCCAAAAGTGACTAACTTGTGCAAAATTGGAAATTGGAATATCTAATATATGCCTACGAAATTGTAACTAAGGACTCCTTGAACATTTAGTGAATGATTAGGGACCAGGGAAGCAAAATTGAGTAAATTAGTATAATTTTAAAATAGAAACAATAAAAAATAAGTGACAATTGATAACGAAGACCATATTACACAGACATTAAAGAAGACATGGATATCTCACATTTGGGGTAACCACACAAATTTTCATGATAATTGTCTAGCATCGATTATAAGATGAACACAAGTAGCAAAGATACCTCATTCGATGCATTATGACATGAAATATGATTAAGAATGACGAATTGGAGCTTTATTTTACAATTTTACATTGTGCTCATCTTTGGATGAAGTAAGATTAATTTATTTATTTTAGATGAAATTAGAACGAACCTTGTGTTACGTCTCATCTGATCAGTCTCCAAGTATCGATCACGTGGCAGCTAATTAGCAAGTTTCAACAAGTCTGCACTCCACATTCATATCCAACATGGCCTGGTTGACGTTATAACTAAGGTAGTCGAAGTAATGCATCATCTCAACCGAGATGTCATGCAGAGGCCGGCCTTTCATGGCTTAGACAAAGTACTATAACCTGCTGTAGATTAATCAGAGGCAATAATTATCTTCTTATGAAAGGGGACATCTCCCAGTTCACCTATTCCAATAGATTTTGAGCATGGGATCTCTTTTATGATTGAATTGGTTGCGGAAAATAGCATATCAGCAATAAGATTAATGATGCTTGAACATGCTCAACGAAAGACAAAAAATGGACAGATTGACTTGACAGCACCTGCTTGGGTGTTTGTTTTTTCATCTTTCAAACTGTCAAATCATGTATCAATATGTGTCCCCCGTACCTTTTAACATGTCATTGAGCATGTTTGTGTAGCATAATTGCAACGATAATATAGTGGTAGTTCAAGCCTCTAATCATATGAGTAATATTTAATTGTGACTTTGCTTACTTGATTTTAAATATTAATCATCCACTAATTAACATTAAATTCTTCATATTTAGAGCACAGTGGGAAATAATGTTTCTACTACAAATCACGTGATCGATGCTTATGCCAAGAAGAGAACGTAAGATTGAGTAATTTAATATATTATTTTTGTTAATAAAATTCATCAAAAAATGCCAATTGATAAAAGTCAACCTGACCAAGTTCAATTTAAACGTTTAGATAAAAGAACTATGGTTATATGCCATTTATATTTTATTTACCGTGACAACTGAAGTTCTAACTGTCGATTTATATATTTGAAGTTTTTTCTTTAAAGAAACTACATCGTTTACAGTGGCTAAGCACCTAACCCTCGTGGTCTACTATGGTTCCACCTTCAACCATCATGGTATATTAATGAAAATAAAATCAAAAGTTATTTTCCGACTTTCCAAAACATCCATGAATATGCTTTTACTCGTACTGATTATTTGTTTTATTAATATTCTTGACAAACCGCAGGAACGAATTCAGGACCGAATTACAAGTCAGGCTAATATGTAAAAAAAAAAAAAAAAGTTTTTCTACCAAAAAAGTTTCGGTGGGCTGGAGACTGGACTGACCCCCCTACATCCGTCCCTACGAAAAGGACTTTAGTGTTTTTGCCAAAGACCCTCAAATTACTTGAGTTGTGTCTGATGATATCTCTTTGAGGCGTCTGCTCATTTAGTCCTAATCATTCCTTATTGAAAAGTAAACACGTGTTTTTTATGTTCGACTAGAGATGTTCGACTTAACGGTAAAGGTTCAATGGGTCGCGGTTTTATTTACACAAGAAATAAACAGTGAGATTCCTAAAAGAGTTTGCAACTGAAGTAGGACCCTTCATTTAACATGAGATTTGTCTTTAATGTGGGAATTAATGACTAAAAATCCAACACAAATATTAGGTAAGCATGTCACAATATTAGATATTGCTAGTTATTTAATATTCCAACAGCTACCAAATCAATTTTAGTATTTATATCACAAAAACAATCCTTGATTGAGACTCTAATACAAGTCAGAGAGTTCTAACAACCCTTGTAAGCATGTTTGGTTGAGTTTAAAAATTTTACATATAAATAAGTTTGCTAATGACTAAAAGTGTTTTTGTAATTATGGGTCAAAGTTAAGAATAAGCGAATTACTAATTGAGATAAGGGTTACTTTTAAAATAAATAACTTTTTTCTTTTTTTTTCAACCATCAAATCAACAAAAAAAAAAAAAAAATGAATTCTTGGCTCCAAAATGTGCACCAAACAGAGGCTAAATATCTAGCATGTTAGAATTTTATTAATGGTGAGATTTAAACTCGGAATGGTAGATGTTTGTAAATACTTAATTATCCTATCATATCGAGTTAATTAACATGTTTCAAAAGTTTTCTTTAAAAAAAAAAAAAGAAAAAAATTATAAGATTGGAACAATTTGAAAAGGGATACTCTCCTATCCTTTGATTAGAAAAACTCGAAAGCTCAAAGGGGTTGGACCTCTTTAGCCATCCGCTCATTTAAGGTTGGACCAAAAGGAAAGGGTTGAATAGTTCGAGGCTCTATTCGCATAGGAAATAAACAATGAGATAACCATATGCTTTTATTTATTTGATATTGTAGCTTTCTTGAAATGAATTCAAGGTGGCCCTAGTGAAATTAGTTAAAGAAAGAAAAGAAAATCAAGGACGAACAATAGTTAAACGTAAGCTCAAGACTAGATATTATCGGTCATTTAATATCTTATCCTATTCTTTTACTACCAATCTCAATTAATAAACGATACACATGGCCAAAACGCCAAAAAAACTAATCATTTCTAATATTAATTATGATCAAGTGTGACGAATTAGGAACCACATCTTTTCTATAATTTTTATTTTTTTGGCTTCATTAAGCCTCTACAATGAAAAGGGAATTCTAACAAACCTTGATTAAGACTAAAATGACTAATGGAAATCCCTATCATGTGATGTCTTTCTTACTTGTTTATGCAAAGGCATAGGAGGCAAGGGTAAAGTTGACAATGAATCGGAGCAAGTATCAGTTGTCGATCATTTTAAAATGAATCTTTATGAATTTTAATAGCTCGATCGAGATTTAAGAATTGTTGTTTCCATGATTATCATTATGCTGTCTTAATCGATCAACCCCCTTTGTGGGATCTAGGTTAACGCGGAGTTGTGCGCTGTAATCCAACTTTCGGTTCATTTCACATCATTAATTTTGCTTACCAAAAAATGGTCACTTGGAACTCTCGATTCCGTAGCATGGCTCAACAGAGCAATCACAGCGTCCTACCTATTTTAAGTTTGAGAATAGGTCGAGGGCACTATTTCTTAGTCATTGACTTTACTTGATATAACTCGAATTGAGCTCCAACTATTTTGAGAAAAACTTTAGACCGATTAAATGGTTCGAGTGGATTCAAGTAATGGAAATAGAATATATTACTATTCCTATTAAATGACCATAAAGGCATGACCTAGAAATAATACAATGACAGCTCAACTCCTTTCAAGTCTTATCGCCCTATGCTCTATTAGTTCATTGAGGAAGAAAGAGGATAACAATTTCTTTAATCCGTTCAGTATATAAGAAATATTACGAAAACTGTAAGAACTTGAGATGCAAGGCAAGTACATAGTTTGGACCAATCAAAAGTAAAATGTAAAGAGACTTGTATCAAAAGATAACATATTTCTTAAAATTTAAAAAGTTAAAAAGAAAAAGTAAAACAAAATACACACACAAACCCAACCTTGTCAAAATTCTCATCAATATGCTACCATAAAAGGCCTTCATAACTATCAGATATGATATTCTCAATCATGTTTTCTTCAAAAAATCCACAATCTTGTAAACTATGCAACCATGGTTGATTATAGTCCCACTCCGAATATTCTCCGAACACCAAATCGTAGTCATAACTCGGATCTAGACTCGGCAGCTCGACTATCTGGCTTAGCTCCTCTTGGGTTTGCACCTCTTCATTTAACGTCATCACATCTTCTGACGATGAATTTACCAAGGATGAAAATGATGACGATGACGATGACGACGACGACAACGATGATGACGGTGTGCAGAGATTGTCCATGTTGGCGGCCTTGGTGGCAGCGGCCTGGACATCACGTGGAGAAGAAGTGGCGGGGCGAGGCAGCAAGTGGGATATCTCTGGAAAATTTAGAATGGCGGCACCACCCTTGATGGCGATGGCGGCGACATCGTGTGCTCTGGCCGCCATTTCCGGGGTGTCGAAAGTCCCGAGCCAGATCCGAGACTTCTTCTTGGGCTCTCGGATCTCCGATACCCATTTTCCCCATGCCCGGATTCGCACTCCTCTGTAAACTGGATGCTTTCTATTAGCATTACTACTATTACTGTTTTTGCTTCTCTTAACGCCATCATTCGCCCGATTCAACTCACTGTTGTTGCTTCGCTTTGTCCGGTGTTTCGGGTTTGTGAGAGAGACTGAGGTACTCCACCTAGTTTCCAAGTTTGGTGCCTCTGCCATGGAGAAAAAAGGGTTCAAGGCTTGATAAGAATTGGTGGATGAGAGTGTAAATCTGTTAAAACTATATGAAAATACTATAAAGAGTTGAATGACAGGAGAGTGGTAGGTGTCAGAGAGAAGAGCACTTGGTATTTATATATATATATGGAAGTGTAATTGAAATTTTTACACGTGTTTCCGGTGTGCAGTGTGTGTGTAATTGGTGTCTATAAATAGAGGAAGACAAAGGAAAATACGACAGAGAGAGACCCGACACAACCGACTCCAGCCTTTTACCCATCATTTCTTGATGACCTTGCTACATTAAAAATCGGTGAGCACGTCGATTTAAAAAAGTGGACGGACTTGACTCTTTGATTGCTTTATACAGTTTTGTATAGCCGGATTGATTTCTTGACCACTTTTTAATAGTCAAACAAGTAGATGAATCATGTCTGGTTTTCAAAATATTGTGCACACGAAGAGAAGGTATAGATGTCTATATATCAAGTTAAGAGACAACTAAGTAATGAATATATACTCAAATTATTTTTTATCGGTCCGATTGACTACATTAAGCCATTGTTTGGCACTGATAAAGAAATCTGATTGAAATCTAAGTCAGAATCAATTATTAATTTTTAATCATATATTTCATATGAATCACAACTTTTCAACTACGCTTTTCATCAACATTTATCAAAATATGTTAAAAAACTGATTTTTGTTGACCACAAAAAATTAGCCAACAGATACCGGGCCCACTCGTGTTTTGGCAAGCTAATTTCGACACGTGTTGATAGCTTACTAGTCGAAAATGTTGAATTAAAACGTGAGAGAAACTTTTGACACGAAACAACTATATTAAGGATCCGGTAAATAAAAGAACGAAAAGATATGATAAAACATGAAACTAAATAAACTCTGATATTACACAGCGTTCTTATTCTAAATTAGAGTATAAAAAAAGAGAGTGTATTTGTGTTCTTGATCTCTCATTTTTTCCAATCTCTTCTATGACACTAAGAAGGTTTATTTATAGTATTACATGTACAATAATGACTGTTGGATGGAGGACACGTGACTTCATCTCCTCGACTGAAACATCATCTAATAGGCATCATTTCAGACTGTTTTAGTTTTAAGCGCCTTAAATGCTTTTGAAGAGGGCAGCCAACTCATGTCATGTGTTGACACGACTAATATTTGCATTCATTGCATCTATCCAATCAATCATTTCAAGAAGCTCTTAGGTACTTTAAGATCTTCAATCGTAGGTCATCATTTGTCATAGTCGAACTTCAGATTCTACGTTATGGGCTTAGGAGCTTTGGTTAGAACAGGTAGTGCTTCATCGTTGGAAATATATCAATTTTTTATGTGCTTCTGCTTTCCCTTGAGCCTCGACATTGAGGTGCTTCGGTAATAAGTACTTCAGTAATGTTGGGCCTTAGAGGTTCATTGGGTTTCGGCAAATGGCGCCTCGACATGGTAGATGAGTTGTGGCAAAATGGGCTTCGGCCACTTCTCCTTGGCCAGCGAGGGCGTAACAATTTTAATATTCATCAAATAGTGGCTAAATGCCTTATATATTTAAAGATGAAAATATACGACTTTCTATTAGGTTTGATGAGGCAAGACGACATTGTATATTCTTGTATGTTTAGTATTATGGAAAAACTTAGTTTTGTTACATTTTAGTAACACAAGAAGTTACATTTCGTGCAATAAATTTTGAAAAACGAAAATGTGAAGTTTATCTATAGTGAGATTTTTCAACTTTTATGATCAAATAAGTGATAATTTAGTGATTCAATTATAATACGTTATAGATGGATCCACCTATGCTTTGTGAAATTAATAATGTGAATCGCTCATCGATTTGGCCATGTGAGTCACTCTTTAGTTTGCGAAAGTTGATTCGAGAGCTTGTTTGCTCACGAATCAGCTCATCAAATATAGAGAAATATGTATTTTTCATTAAGAAAATAATAAAATGAAAAATGGGGAACCGTTCAACTCGCCTCACTAATGGACGAGCTCGTGGGTGAGTCAACTTGAACTTTTGTAGAGCAAGTTGAGTGGCTCGATTCATCCGATTTAACACCTTGAGTCAAGTGTCTATATACAAACAAAAATTTAAATAATAAAAAAAAAGGTCATTTGAATTTTAACTCAAAAGGGTACAAATTTTATGTCAAGTGTCTATACATAAATGAACTTAATATTTAGAAGTAATAATCGTAGATTCCTTTTGCTATAGAGAAAGTACTGACAGATTTCATGTGTAGATATTTAAAGAGAGTCAATATACAACAAATGAGATTGGTATGGGTTCCTCAAGAATTTCTCAACACCTTTCATGCTTTCTATCTCTAATATTTTTATATGCGTGACATGGAAGAATGGAAGAACGAGTGCACAATTTTCATAAGAAAAACTTTTGCTTTATTGTGAGATACGATTTTAGCAATTTCATAATAAAGCTTAAA